ACCTGCTACCCTTGTGGAGGAGGAGGCTCCTGGCTCCTGGCTTCAGCCTTGCCTCAGAGCTGGCTGTTGTGGCCAGTGAGCCAGTGGATGGAAGACCTCTCTCTCTCTCTCTCTCTCTCTCTCTGTAACTCTGACTTTCAAAAAAATAAATATATCTTTGAAAAAAAAGACAAGAGTGTCAAAGGCAAAATCAAGATTGGGCCATATTCTCTTGGGGGTAAAAAGAACATGAAATGGAAGCCAAGAGTTAGTCTTCAAAACACAGATGCAGCAGAATAACGGGCAAGGCTGGGTATGCAAATAGTGGAGACCCCAAGGCAGACCCACATCTACCAGGAACAAGAGGAGGGTAGAGAAGAGAGTCAGTGGATCACAGGTGAAGTCAGAGCTCACTAGTGTTGGTGGAGAGGTTGGCCTCAAAGTGCCAGCCCAAGGCAGCCCTCAGACCCCACATTGCTCTTGGCAGCTCTTCAAATTTCTGGACCCTGGCCCAGGAGTGTTAGAGGCCCAGAGTTCTGAAGCTGCTACAGGACATCCCCCTCCTCCCACTTATATCCTCATCCATTTCCCTTCTCCATCCTCCGTGTATTCCTTCCTGATATTCCTAGGACTCTTAAGCAAAGAGAATAGCACAGTTTGACCAAGGCTCTCTGTATCAGTTTCCTAGGGTTTCTGTAATGAAGTTCTGTAGACTGTGTGGCTTAAGCGATAGAAATTTACTGTTTCACAGCTCTGAAGGCTTAAGTCCAAGATCAGGGTGTCAGCAGGGCTGGCTCGTTCTGGAAGCTCTGATGGAGAATCTGTTCCATGCCTTTTTCCTGGTTTCTCCTGGCTTGCTGGAATATTTGGTGTTCCTTGACTTCCTCCATCTTCTGCTGTTGTCCCTATGTGTGTGTCTGTCTCTGGGCCCAAATTTGTCCTTCTTGTAAAAATATAGTCCTGTTCATAGAATGGCAGATGTCCTAAATAGCACTCTGGCCTCAGAATCAGCCCTAAAGCCATTCAGATCTGGCTGAAAAGCCCATGAGAGTATTTCAGGCATGGAAAGTCAAGACACTCTGGCAAAAAGATCTCTGTGAGTGAGATCCCAGTGGAAAGAACAGGTCTTCAAAGAAGGAGGTACCTTTCTCTGAAGGGAGGAGAGAACCTCCACTTTGACTATGACCTTGTCTAAACAAGATAAGAGTCGGAGAACTCAGAGGGCTTCCATAGCCTTGGAAACTCATGACTGGAGCATAGGGAGATTACTGATGCCATAGACAGGAGTGTCAATTTGTAAAGTCAACAACGGGAGTCACTGGGCACTTACTCCTCATGTAGGATCTCTGTCCTTGGTGTGCTGTACATTGAGATTTAATGCTATAATGAGTACTCAAACAGTATATTTCACTTTGTGTTTCTATGGGGGTGCAAACTGTTGAAATCTTTACTTAATGTATACTAAACTGATCTTCTGTTAAAAAAAAAAAGAAATTATCAATTCCCAACTTGACTCTCACTGGGATTAAACATGACAATAGCTCTGATCTGATTTCATCATCATTTAAAAAATCATCTATCATTTTTCACTTTATGTTTCTGCGTGGGAGCAAACTGTTGAAATCTTTACTTAATGTATACTAAGCTGATCTTCTGTATATTAAGATAATCGAAAATGAATCTTGATGTGAATGGAAGGGGAGAGGGAGTGGGAAAGGGGAGGGTTGTGGGTGGGAGGGACGTTATGGGGGGGAAGCCATTGTAATCCATAAGTCGTACTTTGGAAATTTATATTCATTAAATAAAAGTTAAAAAAAATAAAATAAAAATAAAAAAGAAAGAAAGAATATCCAAGTTAAAAAAAATATAGTCCTGTTGATTGAGGCTCACCCTGATGGCCTCATCTTAACTTGATCATCTACAAGACCCCTGACTCCAAATGAGGTCACATTCTGTGGTCTTGGGATTAGGACTTCAATATAGGAACGGTGGGATAACACAGCTCAACCCTCACACTCCCCTTGCTTCTCTGGTCATGATTTGAACCATGGTGTTCGGATGAAGATGGGGAATGAGGCAGAATAAAACTCCAGAATGACCTGGTGTCTACTTATACTCAGCATCTGGAGGAGGGGCTTTGCTATGTAGGCTGTTTCCTCATAGCCTGCTTCTAGAGAACAAAGTGTTTTCAATATTGCATCTTCAGTGGGGAGAGCAGGTAGCCTAATGGTTAAGACACCTATGTCCTACACTGAAGTACAAGGACTCAGTACCTGGCTCCAGCTCCTGACTCTTGCTTCTTGCTAATACAGATCCTGGGAGGTAGCCATGAGAGCTTAAACAACTGGGTTCATGCCACCCACATGGGAAGACTGGATTTCATTCCCGGCTACTGGCTTTGACTCAGCTCAGCCCTGGCCATTTGATGGTGTTTGGAGTGAACCACTCCTCCTACCCCACCCCCTGCTCTTACCTTGCAAATAGAGTTTTAAAAATATGTTGTATCTTCAGAGATTAGAACAGTCCTTACATAACACAGATGCTAAATAAACAGTTGTTGAATTAATAATGAATGAAAGGAAGTCAGCTCATTTTCTATGGAAGTGGTTTATCAGCCAAAGCTTCATGTGCAGGGAGCTTGGTCACCGTGGTGGTGTTGTGAGGCATGGGACTGTAAAGAGGTAGCATCACAGGGCTGGTGCTTGTGGCGTAGTGGGTAAAGCCACCGCCTGCAGTGCCAGCATCCCATATGCCCACATGGGTGCTGGTTCAAGTCCCAGTTGTTCTGCTTGCGATCTAGCTCTTTGCAATGGCCTGGGAAAGCAGTAGAAGATAGCTTAAGTCCTTGTGCCTCTGCACCTGCATGGGAGACCCAGAGGAAGCTCTTGGCTCCTGGCTTTGGATTGGTGCAGCTCTAGCCATTGAAGTCATCTGGGGAGTGAACTAGCGAATGGAAGATCTCTCTCTCTCTCTCTCTCTCTCTGTAACTCTACTTTTCAAATAAATAAATAAATCTCTTTAAAAAAAAAAAAGAGGTAAGGCCTAGTGTAAGGGATGGGGTCATGGAGGGGTTCACCCTTGTGAGTGGAGCTGTTTTAAGGGAGTGAGTCAAGTCTTACAGAAATGGATCTGTTGCCACAAAGGTGGGCTATTATAAAGAGAGCAAGCATGGCCCCAGTCTCTGTCTTCCTTTTCCTGAACGTGGTCCCTTCTGTGCCAGTTCCTGCCATCGTGACACCACCTGCTGTGAGGCTCTCACTAGAGCTGAGCAGATGCTGGCGTCATGCTCCCGAATGTCCACAACCATGAGCTAAGCCAACTTCTTTTCTTGACAGAGTAGCCTTGGGTATTTTGTTTTATTTATTTTTTATTTTTTAAATTTTTTTGACAGGCAGAGTGGACAGTGAGAGAGAGACAGAGAGAAAGGTCTTCCTTTGCCATTGGTTCACCCTCCAGTGGCCGCCGCAGCCGGTGCACCGTGCTGATCCGATGGCAGGAGCCAGGTCTCCCATGGGGTGCAGGGCCCAAGCACCTGGGCCATCCTCCACTGCACTCCCGGGCCACAGCAGAGAGCTGGCCTGGAAGAGGGGCAACCGGGACAGAATCCGGCGCCCCGACCGGGACTAGAACCCGGTGTGCCGGCGCCGCAAGGCGGAGGATTAGCCTAGTGAGCCACAGCGCCGGCTGGTATTTTGTTTTAGTAACAGAAGCTGGACTGACTCTGCACTAGCAGCTGCTTGTAGTGTTATATTCTGGTTCTCACCATGTCTTCTGGCCTAGAGAAAGCAAATACTTGCTGACCTTGCTATCAGTTTCCTTCAGATGGAGTACATTTCCTTGTCTTGAAGCACTGGGCCTTAGCAGAAGTGTGATGAAGAGCGCTGGGTGATGAGTCTCATGGGTGCTGGGCCCTTCATTAGCCTCATATCCCTTTTTACTACTAGATGATCTCATTCTACCACTTGGCGTCTTAGGGCCTCTTTTAAAAGAAAATCTTGGAATCCTGAACTGAGCCTTATTTGCAGAACAGTCACAGAATCTGTTCCCTTTCTAGAGCTCACTGAGCCTCAGTCTTACTCACCAATCAGTTTTGTAGAGTTGGAAGCGATCTCATCCATCATCAAGTCGCACCTCTTAATTTATAGGTGAGGGAACTGACATTCACAAGAGAGAAGCCAGGATAGGGGTCACACAGCCAGGACCTCTGACTCGCAGCTGTGGCCCTTCCTTTGTCCTTGACCCTGTCTTCCACTGGCTGACTGTTAGGTATAGGAATCCCTTTGGAAGTCTTTGTTAGAACACTGTAAACTGGTTCAAATGCTCAGATCTTTCTGGAGCTCAAGGCCAGTGATGGAGATTTGGGGTACTGACTGATTGGGAAGAAGCCCTAGGTCAGATCCTTCAAACCCTCAGCTTTCAAGCTCTGCCACCTGGCTGGCTGTTTGCTTCACCTACAGGGGAAGCTGCTGTTCATTTCCAGATTCCCTCCCATCAACTCTCCTACCTTCCAGACACAAGAGAGGTCTTGTGAGAAGCAAGGCTGTGGCCCAAGCCTGACCTCTCGCTGGGTCGCCCTGTCTTGTTTCCCAGTTCTTTCTTGCCCCATCCAGTTTCACATCCAGGGCATAAACAATGACTCCAGTCTCTCGATAGGTGAGAACACTGCTGCAGGTGCTTCTTTTGCATCGTGGCCAGGATACATAAAGGCCAAGATGGGACCTGGGCAGCCACCCTTAGAATTCCTTATTGTTTCCATTGTCCTGAGACACTGCTGATGGGTGCCCCAACAGCCACGTTGTGTTGTCCTAGCACCCCGCCTGCCCCATGATGCTATTGAAATGGCCTCTCATTATTATGCCAGGCTCACTTACAGTGGATACCTTATCTGAAAGACATTGAACCTGTGTTTGTAAAACATACCCCATCATTACGAAGCTGAGTTGAGTAAGTACAAACCAACCGACAAAACTGGAGAGGGAAGGTAAACGTTCCTATTAAGGTGACCAGAGTTAACACACAAACATACACACAGGATGCTTAATTAAATTTGAATTCCAGATAAACAGTGAGTGATTTTTTAGTGTAAGTGAATCCCATGCAATATTCTGGACATATTCATAATAAGCATTATTTGTTGTATGTCTGTATCTGAAATTCAGGTTCAACTGAATTTGATCAGTTTATCCTGTATTCCATCAGACAACCCTAGTTCCCATGGAATTTCTTGGTCAGGATATCCTAAGAGACATACCTTGACTCTTGACTCTCAGAACCCAGTCTGGAACTCTTCCAGTGTTGACGTCAACATCTCGGCTTGTTACTGTTCACAGCACTGTGCTAGGGTCTTTGAGGGGTTCCACAGGAAGACCAGTAATGATCCCTGCTCCTGGGGGTTCTCCATAACAGGAGGTACACAGCCAGTCATGGAGGAACAGATGTTACCACCAGGTTAGCTCATTTTTATGTCTGCAGTCTAATGGCAAACTGCTTTCATATAAACTTCTCATTTGATTCCTCAACGTCCTTGAATAGGATGCAGCAAATATCACCCCGTGTGCTGCAGATGAGAAAACACACTTCCAGGAGACATTGGCCCACTTAGTTTTTGTTAGATGAAGAGTCGAGGGTTGCCTCAGCCGTCAGTCTGCACATTTTGTTAGTCTCCTGCTTTATTATTACAGCCAAACACACTTTTCTAAAACCATTGCATTCTGGAGTTTTTATGTTTCTAAAAGTAAGATTTTGTTATTACAGGAAACATGGAAAACATAGACAAAGAAGAAAGGAAGAGAAATCAGCAAAGAAAATCATTCCTCAACTGTGGGACAACTGCTGTTGACATGTAGGTAAGTGGTCTTCCATTTTGTAGCTGTTTATTGAAATATTATTCATTTTATAGTAAAAAGCAAAATCTTGCCATACCTATAAGAGTGATGAAAATAGTTTCAGGGGCTGGAGCTGTGGCGTAGCGGGTAAAGCCACTGCCTGCAGTGCTGGCATCCCATATGGGCACCATTTGGGTCCCGGCTGTTCCACTTCTGATCCAGCTCTCTGGTGTGGCCTGGGAAAGCAGTGGAAGATGGCCCAAGTCCTTGGGCCCCTGCACCCACATGGGAGACTTGGAAGAAGCTCCTGGCTTCTTTCTGGCCTGGCTCTGGCTGTTGTGGCCAATTGGGGAGTGAACCAGTGGATAGAAGACCTCTCTCTCTCTTTCTCTCTCTCTCTGCCTCTCCTTCTCTCTCTGTATAGCTCCGACTTTCGAATGAATAAATAAGTCTTTAAAAAAAAGAAAATAGTTGCAGATGTGAAAGTACATAGGTGTACATAAACACAGAAATATTGACAGGCAGCCCTTGAGATCTACATGCTCTTCATCACTGAAAATATCTGGGAAAAGAATTGTTTCTGTACTGAACATGTATAAATGGTTTCAGGTCATTCTCTAGACAATGCAGTATAACAATTATTTACATGGAATTTACATTGAAGTAGGTATTGTAAATAATCTAGATGATTTAAAGTATATGGGAGAGTGTCTTTAGGTTATATGCAAATACTACACCATTTTATTTAAGGGGTTTGAGCATCTAACATATCTTGGTTATTGGAGATATGTGATTGCCACCTAGTGGCAAACTTGAACTTTACCTAGAAAGTGGAGGAATTCTGCAACCCACTTTGCTAAGGAGGAGGTCATCTTTCTTTGCCAGTGCTGCCCTCAGTTGAAGTCTTTTATTATATTATATTTGGTCTTAGTTGTATATTTTAATTAATACAAAGACACTTATTTGCCTTCTCCAATACCAAATATTTTCCTTCATTTTCCCAGGTGACTAGTCTAAGAAAGTCCAGTTTCTGCCTGCAACCCGCCCCTGCATATTTCTCACTTCATTTTACCCTCTGACTGTGGCTGTTTAGTTGGTAAGATGAGGGATTCCTGCCTTCATTCTCTCCACCCAGCCACTTCCTTACTGTCTCTTTCTGTTTCATACCTGGGGTGTAAGGGTCCCTTGAGATAGAAGTCCCTGAAAGAAAGCTTGGGAAGGACAAATGAAAAACCCAGAACATCAAACTTATTACTGAATTAAAGAATTAATTAAGTAAACATGCTGTTACCAAGACTAACAATCTTCAAAAACAGTAATGCTGATAATAGCAGTGGTCTGTGGTGAACATACATGGAAGAAATTTTACAGACACTTTTTTTCATATTTCATGGTAAAGATAACTATATGTGTTTCCTTATGCTTCAACGAAAAACAAGTCAACACCCCGTTAGCTGAATTAGAATACGTTCAGGGACAATTGCTTTAAGTAGCACTCTGACCTCAGAATCAGCCCTTAAAGCATTCTGGTCTGGCTGACAAGGCAGGGCTGGCATTGCAACATTGGTATCTCATATTGGAGTACCAGTCTGAGTCTTGGCTGCTCTGCTTCTGATCCAGCTTCCTGCTAATGTACCTGGGAAAGCAGCAGAAGATGCTTCAACTACGTGGGTCCCTGCTACTCACATGGGAGACCCAGAGGGAGTTTCCTGGCTCCTGGCTTCTGTCTGACTCAGCCCCAGCTGTTTTGGCCATTTGGAGAGTGAACCAGCAGATAGGGATCTCTCCTCTCTTTGTTTCTCTCTCTCTTTGCCACCCTGCCTTTCAAATAAATAAATAAGTCTTTAAAGAATATTTCCATCTGCTCTGTGGGCTGATTTTTTAAATTCATTGACAGTATCCTTTGAAGTATAAACATTTTTAGTGAAGTCCAACTTACCTAGTTCTTTTGATCTCATGTTTTTGGTATTCTAAGAAACCATTGCCTAGTCTAAGGTAACAAATATTTACTATTATGTTTTCTTCTAAGAGTTTTAACAGTTTTATGTCTTAATTTTTGTTATGTAATACATTTTTCTGTAACTTTTTAAAGGACTTGGGCCATCTGCTTTACCAGGTACATTAGCAGGGAGCTGGATTAGAAATGGAACAGTTAGGACCCAAACTGGCACCCACATGGGATGCCAGCACTTCAGAGATAAGTACCTCCTTTGATGATCACTTCTTTCTATTGGGGTCTCATCCACTGAGATCCTTCATGAAGGATGTTTTTTGCCACAGTGTCTTGGCTTTCCATGCCTGAAATTCTCTCATGGGCTTTTCAGCCAGGTCAGAATGCCTTAGGGCTGATTCTGAGGTCAGAGTGCTACTTAAAGAAATTGTCCCTGACAAATATTATATGTTCTCCATGATCTGTGACAACTAACTGAGCACCTAAAAGGAAACCTATAGAAGTAAAATTGACATTATGAGAAGCAATGACTTGATCAGCCCTTGTACTGACTGCCAAGGAACAGCTTACTATTTTATTCTTTTTACTATTTTCTTTTTTCTACTTAATAACATTGGTTGAACTCTTTACTTAACACAGAATTTTTCTTAGGTGTTTAAATCCAATTAAAAATTGATCCCTGTTAAAAACAAGAGTGGGAATAAGAGAGGGAGGAGATGTACAATTTGGCACACATTCCCATGGACTTACACCTGAGGGTAAAGCTAAAAGCTTGCCATGGGAGTCCAAATCCCATTAAGTTGGCAGGTACCAATGCCGTCTTACTAACTAAAGTGATCAGTTTAAGTGCATAACTGATCATAAAATTAGGAATAAGTGTCAAAGGGATCATATAAATAAGATCAAATGTCAGAAATGTCTGCTAATAATAATAGATAGAATTAAAAAGGAGAGAATGACCCAACATGGCAAGCAGGCCACACAGCAGACTCATAGAATAACAAATGCCCTAAACAGCACTCTGGCCTCAGAATCAGCCCTTAAGGCATTTGTATCTGGCTAAAAAGCCCATGAGAGCATTTCAGGCATGGAAAGCTAAGACACTGGGGCAACAAATGAAATACATGAACAATTTCTGTGAGTGAGATCCCGGTGGAAAGAAGGGGCCATCAAAGAAGGAGGTACCTTTCTCTGAAGGAGGAGAGAACTTCCACTTTGATTATGGCCTTGTCTACATAAGATTGGAGTTGGTAAACTTAAGAAGCTTCCATAGCCTTGGCAGCTCATGACAAGAGCCTTGGGTGATCACTGATGCCAAAAAGAGTGTCAATTGTTAAATTGACAACAACAGTTGTTGTTGCTCCCCACATAGGATCTCTGTCTTTAATGAGTTGTATTATGAGACTTAACAGTAAAACTAGTCTTCAAACAGCACTTTATAGTTTGTGTGTCTGTGTGGGTGCAAACTGTTGAAATCTTTACTTAATATAAAATTGATCTTCTGTATGTAAAGGTAATTAAAAATGAATCTTAATGAAGAATGGGATGGGAGAGTGGTAGGAGGGTGGGTATGGGGGGAAGAACCGCTATAATCCAAAAGTACCTATGAAATTTATAGTTACTAACTAAAACTCTCTTAAAACAAAACAAAAGGAAGAAATTGTCCCTGAACATATTCTAATTCAGCATCAGCCAAGTGATGCCAGGGACCCTCGTTAAAGCATTCAGTTTAGACAACCTTAAGATACTAACAGCACTTGAGTAGGAATCTGCAATGCTGGCCATTAAAATCCAAAATACCAGCTTGTATCTATTTACCACCTTACCATCTGCAGAGGGGTTGAACAGAATGTGAGTGTGCAGCTGTGTCCCTTTGCCCATTTAAGGAACTACAATGCCACGGCTTCAGTATGGTTTTCTCCACCAAATCATCCAGGGACTTAATCTCCAAAGTCATATGTTGATAATATTTAAATAGTGAAAACTTAACCCAATTATGGTGTAAGGGTGGACCCTTTGGAACATGGTTAGATTTAAATAAAGTCATTAGGGTGGGGATACCACAGTTGAATCTGCTGGCTTTATAAGGAGAGGGCCAGAGACTAGATACAGAGACACATGTATTTCCTGCCTCTTGCCGCATGATGCTCTGTGCCATCTTAGGGCACTGCCAATGAAAAGGTCATCAACCATGAACCCAAAATCAAACCTTTTTCTTTATTAAGTTAGCCTGCCCTAGATACTTCATCAAAGTAACAAAAAGCTGCCTAATACAGAGACACAATCATCTATTTGTTCCTCTAATATTTTTTCCTCTACCATTGCTCAATGTAAGTGCCCATTTTACAGCTGAATAAATATTTGCCAAGATGAAGTGACCTAACAGACCCCAGCTGAGGGGTGGGCATTTGCTTTAGCAGTTAAAGCATCTTTGGGGATCCCTGCATCCTGTGTCAGAATGCTTGGGTTCAAGTCTGGCTCCACTTCAGATCCCAGCTTCCTGCTGGTGTGCACCCCGGGAGGCAGCAGGGGATGGCTTGAGTAGTAGGGTCCCTGCTACCCACATGAACTGGACTGAGGCTCTGCCTCCTGGCTTTGGCCTGACCCTGCCCTGGTGATTGCAGGTATCTGGGAGTGAACCAGCAGATAGGAGATTTCTCTATCTCCCTTTCAAATAAATAAAAGTAAATGAACAAATGAAAATGAAAACCCACCAAAGGAGGAAAACTGGAAATCTGAGCATGTGAAACTTTGGGTTTTTTTTCAATGAAGAAATTGTCTTCTAAAAAAAAAGTGAGAACTGCTTGTTCTATGAGTTAGACCCATAAACGGAAGCCAGTAGGAACTGGCCTCTGATTCCGTGGAGTGCATGGTAGTGAGCTTTAGGGTGAATACCCCTGGGGCAGGCGTAATGACTGGAAGGATGCCATTTGGAGGGCTTGTGGGGTTTTGGTTATATTTTTTTTCTTGTTCTAGGTGCTGGTTATATGTTTTTGTTCTGTTTGTCAAATTCATTGAACTGTACATTTATGTTCACTTTTCTATATGTATGTTAGACACCGTGGTGGCC